CAGTAAAATCAGCATAGAAGGGACATACCTTAAGGTAATAAAAGTCATCCAGGACAAACCCACAACCAACATTATACTGAAAGGAGAAAAGTTGAAAGCATTCCCCCTGAGAACTGGAACAAGACAAGGATGCCCACTTTCACCACTTCTATTCAACGTAGTACTAGAAGTCCCAGCCACAGCAATCAGACAAGAGAAAGAAAGGGCATCCAAATCGGTAAAGAGGAAGTCAAACATCACTGTTTGCCAACGATACAATCGTATACCTAGAAAACCCTGAAGACTCATCCAAAAAGCTTCTAGAACTGATACATAAATTCAGCAAAGTTTCAGGATACAAAATTAATGTATACATATCAGTAGCTCTGCTTTACACCAACAGCAATAAAGCTGAGAATCAAAGCAAAAACAACCCCTTTTACAATAGCTGCAAAATAATAATACTACTACTTAGGAATATACCTAACCAAGGAGGTGACAGACCTCTACAAGGACTGCCGAAAGAAGTTATAAATGACACAAACACATGGAAACACCTCCTATGCACACGGATGGGTAGAATCAATATTGTAAAAATGACCACATTGCCAAAAGCAATCTACAAATTCAATGCAATTCCCATCAAAATACCACCATCGTTCTTCACAGAACTAGAAAAAATCATCCTAAAATTCATATGGAACCAAAAAAAGAGCCCACATTGCCAAAGCAAGACTAAGCAAACAGAACAAATCTGGAGGCATCACACTACCCAACTTGAAACTATACTTTAAGACTACAGTCACCAAAACCGCATGGTACTGCTATAAAAAGGCATGTAGACCAATGGAACAGAATAGAGAACCCAGAAATAAAGGCAAATACTTACAGCCAACTGATCTTCTACAAAGCAAATAAAAACAGAAAGTGGAGAAAGGACATCCTATTCAACAAATGGTGCTGGGATAATTGGAAAGCCACATATAGAAGAATGAAACTGGATCTTCATCTTTCACCTTATACAAAAATCAACTTAAGATGGATCAAAGACTTAAATGTAAGACTTGAAACCATAAAAATTCTGGAAGATAACGTTGGAAAAACCCTTCTAGGCATTGACTTAGGCAAAGATTTCATGACCAAGAACCCAAAAGCAAATGCAACAAAAACAGTGATAAATAGATAAGACTTATAAACTAAAAAGCTTCTGTAGGCCAGGTACAGTGGCTCACGCCTGTGGTCCCTTGGGAGGCTGAGGCAGGCAGATCATTTGAGGTCCAGAGTTCAAAACCAGACTGGCCAACATGGTGAAACTCCATCTCTACTGAAAATACAAAAATTAGCCAGGCATGGTGGTGGGCATCTATAATCCCAGCTACTTGGGAGGCTGATGCAGGAAAATCGTTTGAACCTTCGTGACAGAGAATGCAGTGAGCTGAGATCGCGCCACCACCCTCCAGCCTGGGTGACAGAGTGAGGCTCCATCTCAAAAAATAATAAAATAAATAAATAAATAATAAAAAGCTTCTTCACAGCAAAAGAAATAATCAGCAAACAGGCAACCCACAGAGTGTGAGAAAACCTCTGCAATCCATACATCTGACAAAGGACCAATACCCAGAATCTACAAGGAACCCAAACAAATCAGCAAGAAAAAACAAACAATTCCATCAACAAGTGGGCTAAGGACATGAATGGACAATTCTCAAATGAAAATATACAAATAGCCAACAAACATAAGATAAAACGCTCAACATCACTAATGATCAGGGAAACGCAAATCAAAACCACAATGCAATGCCACCTGACTCTTGCAAGAATGGCCATTATCAAAAAATCAAAAAATAATAGATGTTGGCATGGATGTAGTGAAAAGGGAACATTTTTACACGGCTAGTGGGAATATAAACTAACACAACCACTATGGAAAACAGTATGGAAGTTCCTTAAAGAACTAAAAATAGATCTACCATTGGATCCAGCAATCCCACTACTAGGTATCTACTCAGAGGAAAAGAAGTCATTATACGAAAAAGATACTTGTACACACATGTTTAGAGCAACACAATTCACAACTGCAAAAATATGGAATCAGCCCAAAGGCCCACCAATCAAGGAGTGGATAAAGAAAATGTGATATATATATATATATATATGTATGTGTATATATATGTGTGTATATATATCTCTTATATACATGGCCCGATCTATATATATATATCATGGACTACTACTCAGCCATAAAAAGGAATGAAATAATGGTATTCGCAGCAATCTGGATGGAATTGGAGACCATTATTCTACATGAAGTAACTCAGGAATGGAAAACCAAACATCGCATGTCTTCACTCATAAGCAGGAGCTAAGCTAGGCATAAGAATGATACAACGGACTTTGGGGACTGGTGGAAAGGGTCAGGGGGTGGGGGTGAGCAATAAAAGACTACCTATTAGGTACAGTGTACATTGCTTGGGTGCACAAAAATCTCAGAAATTACCACTAAAGAACTTATCCTTTTAACCAAACTTCACCTGCTTCCCCCAAAACCTACTGAAATTTAAAAAAAAAAAAGGCACAAATAAATAAATATTTACATTTTAATTTAATTTTTTAAATTTTCCTCTGAGCCTAGGGCTCTAAATGCTTAAATAACAATTTCCTGGATGTAATAATGACAACTATTAGTGATAGGAAACAGATTCATAAGAATAAATATATAATAAACCATTTTATAATTATTAAACATTACAAAGCAAAATGTTATTTGAAATGTATATGTTAGTGAATGGGGCTTTATTCTTGTTTTTTCAATTCATTCATCTATATGAGGATAGTTATTAAGTAGTCATTACTAGAATAAGAGAGTTCATCAATTTTATTTTTATTTTTATTTGGTTTTTTGCTTTTTTGTTTTTTCTTTTTCATAACATAAGCAAAGAGAAAATGTGTTCATATAAATGAGAGGATAGGGGAAAAAAAGAGATATTGTGTTATAATACTGGCATTCTGTTCTTTGTACTCTTTTCAAGTTTCAGGCCCAAAATCCCAGGGTAGTCCATCATGGAAAATTACTTTCAAGGACCTCTCTGCAGACAATTTGATTAGCTCCACCTTCAAAGGACAGGACAGCATCAGAACTGCTAAAGGAATTGTGGGCCAGGCATGGTGGCTCACACCTGTAATCCCAGCACTTTGGGAGGCTGAGTCAGGTAGACCACCTAAGGTCAGGAGTTCAAGACTAGCCTGGCCAACATGGCAAAACCTCATCTCTACTACAAATACAAAAAAAATTAGCCAGGCGCAGTGGCGCACACCTGTAATCCCAGTTACTTGGGAGCCTGCAGCAGAAGAATTGCTTGAACTTGAGAGGCGGAGGTTGCAGTGAGCCAAGATCCAGCCACTGTACTCCAGCCTGGACAACAGAGGGAGACGCCACCTCAAAAACAAACAAAAAAAAAATGGACTTGTTCCCAGTGATTAGAGATAGGGCCCTTCACTTTCTCCACGCCAGCACCAACATTCCAAGGGGACCTCCATGTCTGCCTGAAGACCATGCCACCCAGAGACAAGGTCATAAGGCAAGAGCATCTTTCTTGTGTAAGGTGGAAAAGGGAAGCTGTGCCAAGGAAGGAAGGAAAGGAGGGCTGGCTTCCCCGGCATTCTCAGGCACAGCAGTTATAGGGAAGAGAACACATGGAAGCTGAGGACCTAGAAACTAATTTTCTCAACACTCTCTGTGCATCTGTGTATGGCTCGGAAAGGATGGTGTTTTTGACAGAACAATGGCTCCAGTCTAACAGCTACTGACTCAGATGGCCTCTGGCAGGCTCCACCTCCAGGCTAGTTTTTCCAGATCGCTGGGCTATAAAAACTGAGGAAAGAAACCAAACCCTGATCAACTAAAAGGGAAACCCACATATTACATGCCTTTTGATATGGGTGATACATCTGCAATACACAGCACCATGACATCTTCATGCCTTAAAAATGGAATCTGAACTCATAAAGACTCCAGGTCTAACTCCCAGCTTACAGGAAATACAGGGGACTGAGGAACAAGTTAGACAGCACCACAAGGAAGTAATCAGCCAACATTCTAGAGACAAATGACCCAGTTTCTCCAACAAATTACTAGCATGAAAAAAAAAAAAAAAACAACGAACTGTTAAAAAATTAAAGAGACTTAAAAGATATAACAAACAAATGCAATGTAAAAACCTTGTTTGGACCCCAATTATAACAAAACAATATTAGATGACACCTTTAGAAAGATGGAGAAAATCTGAATATGGACTGGATGTTAGATCACAAAAAGGAATTATTAATTTGGTAGGTATAATGGCCATGTGATTATGTTTATTTTTAAAAAGTCATTCAGTTAGACATGTGTGTTGAATTTACAGGTGGAATTACATGATGTCTGGAATTTGCTTTTACAAAATATTCTAACCTCCCAAGAAGGTTGGGGGAGGACAGGTGAATTGAGATTAGCAAAATGTCAATAATGATTGCAGTTGGAAGATGGGTATCAGGGATGCATCACAGGCTTCTATCCACAATTTTTACATATTTAACAATGTCTATAATATCCTGGGTTCCATAACTCAAACCTGTAATCCCAACACTTTTGGAGCCCTAGGCAGGTGGATCACTTGAGCCCAGGAGTTCAAGACCAGCCTGGGCAACGTGGTGAAACCCTATCTCTGCAAAAACTCAAAAACTCAGCCAGGCATGGTGGCACATGCCTGCGGTCCCAGCTACTCGGGAGGCTGAGTTGGGAGGATGAGTCCAGGAGGTGGAGGTTGCAGTGAGCCGAGATCATGCCACTGCACTCTAGCCTAGGCAACAAGAGCAAAACTCTGGGAGATAAATATGGCAGGTGATTAGAGGGAGGCGTTAGTGCCTGAGGAACACAGAGATGCATCTAGGTCGCAAGGGGAGGGACTGAAGACAACCCTTGGCAGACAAATGTCAGAATCAGTATGCCTCAATTTCCATTTCTCCTACTACATGCTACTTACCCCTGCAGCAAAGCCAAGACTTCCATCTAAGATCCGCCTCTGAAAATCAAAACAAGATGTTTCAGTTTCCAAGAGTCAATAAGATGATGTTTCCTGGGACAAGAAGAAACCATAAGGCCCAAAAGAGCCACACAAATAAAGACTGGCCCACTCCTGAGCTCGTGAGCTCCTGAGTTTATACAATGGGCCAAGAACCAGGGGGAAAGCTTTTGGTTAACTTTCCATCCACCCCATAGCCAATCAGAAGTGTTCTTTCAAGTGGTGCTTGGCTTGCCTTGGCCCTTGTGTTGTCTCTTACTCAGCTTTCCCTGTGAATTACGTTTCTAAACCTTTAGTAAGTAGCCAGTATAAACCTTTAGTAAGTAGTCGTCATACAAGGGTTGGTGACGAGCAGAGGAGCAGGTGAAACAATCAAAACCCTCACACAGGCCGGGCACAGTGTTCACGCCTGTAATCCCAGCACTTTGGGAGGCTGAGGCAGGCAGATCACCTGAGGTCAGGAGTTCAAGACCAGCCTGGTCAACATGATGAAACCCCGTCTCTACTAAAAATACAAAAACTTAGGCTGAGCGCAGGGGTTCACGCCTATAATCCCAGCACTTTGCGAGGCCGAGGCAGGCAGATCACCTGAGGTCAGGAGTTCAAGACCAGCCTGACCAACATGATGAAACCCCGTCTCTACTAAAACTACAAATATTAGGCTAGGCGCAAGGGTTGGTGCCTATAATCCCAGCACTTTGCGAGGCCAAAGCAGACAGATCACCTGAGGTCAGGAGTCTGAGACCAGTGTGGCCAACATGGTGAAACTCCATCTCTATTAAAAATACAAAAATTAGGCATGGTAATGCGTGCCCGTAATCCCAGCTACTTGGGAGGCTGAGGCAGGAGAATCGCTTGAACTCGGGAGGCAGATGTTTCAGTGAGCCAAGATCATGCCACTGCACTCTAGCCTAGGCAACAAGAGCAAAACCCCATCTCAAAAAAAAAAAAAAACGGTCACACAATGGGGTGCAAACGGGTACCACCATTTTGGCAAACTATTTGGCAGCACGAATGAGAGGTGAACACTATGCATGCCACTCCTGAGTAATTCCGTAACAGGAATGCACTTGTATTCAACAAACCCATGAAGAAAAATGTTCGGCAGTGCTATTTGTAAGAGCCCAAAACTAGAAACTACCCAAATTCTCACCAACAGTAGGATGGATATGTTAATTAGGATATATTCATACAACAGGTACCATATGGCAATGGGAACACACACACATACTACAGTTATATATATACATATATCTTACAAACACAGGGACATTAAAGAAACTGGAAAACAAGTAGGGTAAAATCAGCCAGATGCAGTACATACTATATGATTACTCCATCTAAATAAAGCACAGAAACAGGGAAAATAGGCCGGGCGCGGTGGCTCAAGCCTGTAATCCCAGCACTTTGGGAGGCCGAGACGGGTGGATCACGAGGTCAGGAGATCGAGACCATCCTGGCTAACACAGTGAAACCCTGTCTCTACTAAAAAATACAAAAAATTAGCCAGGCGTGATGGCGGGCGCCTGTAGTCCCAGCTACACAGGAGGCTGAGGCAGGAGAATGGCGTGAACCCGGGAGGCAGAGCTTGCAGTGAGCCAAGATGGCGCCACTGTACTCCAGCCTGGGCGACAGAGCGAGACTCCGTCTCAAAAAAAAAAAAAAAAGAAAAAGAAACAGGGAAAATATCCGTGCTGCTAGAGATCAGAAAGGAGATGATCCTTGGAGTAGAGGTTGGGGATGGTAGGATCGGAAAGGAGACTGAAGGCTCCTGATTGGAAGGGGCTGCGAGGTGAGGAGCTGGTACTGTTTTGTTTCTTGATCTGGGCTCTAGTTTCACGAGCATTTGTGGAAAGTCATCAAACTGCACACTTATATTAGGTTGGTGCAAACCTAATAAATGTACCAGCCTAATAAAATGTGCATTTTTCCAAATGCATCATATTTCAATAAAGGTTTTTTTTTGCTATCTAGCCATAGATGAATGGATAGACAAAATATGGTATGTACATACAATGGAATAGTCTTCAGCCTTAAAAACGAAAGAAATTCTGGCACATGCTATAACATGGATGAGCTCTAAGGACATTCTTTGAAGTGAAAGAAGCCGTGTGGTCTACAGAACTTTTCACCTTACAAAACTGAAACCCCGTCTCTACTAAAAAAACAAAAATTAGCTGGGCATGGTGCCACACACCTGTAGGCACAGCTACTTGGAAGGCTGAGGTGGGAGGCTCACTTGAACCCAGGAGGCGGAGGCTGCAGTGAGCTGAGATCATGTCACTGAACTCCAGCCAGGGCGACAGGGCAAGACTATGACTCAAAAAAAAAAAAAAAAAAACAGCCTGGACAGATAGGGTTACCAGTGAAACCCCGTCTTTACTAAAACTACAAAAAAAATTAGCAGGACATGGTGGTACACGCCTGTAATCCCAGCTACTCAGGAGGCTGAGGCAGGAGAATCACTTGAACCTGGAAGGCAGAGACCAAGTGAACCAAAATCACGCCACTGTACTCCAGACTGGGAGACAGAGCAAGACTCTGTCAAAAAATAAAATAGGCCGGGCGCGGCGGCTCACGCCTGTAATCCCAGCACTTTGGGAGGCCAAGGCAGGCAGATCACCAGGTCAGGAGATCGAGACCATCCTGGCTAACACAGTGAAACCCTGTCTCTACTAAAAAATACAAAAAATTAGCCAGGCGTGGTGGCGGGCGCCTGTAGTCCCAGCTACACAGGAGGCTGAGGCAGGAGAATGGCGTGAACCCGGGAGGCAGAGCTTGCAGTGAGCCAAGATGGCGCCACTGTACTCCAGCCTGGGCGACAGAGCGAGACTCCGTCTCAAAAAAAAAATAAAAATAAAAATAAAATAAAATAACCCTGAAACTCTGTACTCATTCAATAATAACTTATTTCTGCCCTCCCCTGCAGCCCCTGGCAATCACCATTCTACAATGTGTCTCTATGCATTTGACTCATCTTGGCATCTTACATACCTAGGTTCTAGATAACCTGTGTTTTTGGATTGTGTGTTTTCTGATTTCCAATCTCCAACCCATCAGCTCCCGGGGCCGATGCGGTGCGGCAAGGGAGGTGGGGATTTTATTGTCCAAATCAAGGCCTGCTGTACTGGTCTCTAACACAAGAGCGCCTGACTTGCGAACTTCCTGAAGGTGTGTTCATTTCCAAATCTCCCTCACAACATGTTGAATTAGATCTTAAGTCACTTATTCATTTGCCATTCCTACAATGTTTCAGGCTACCCAGGTGAACGATGCAGGCATTGTGCATTCATCAAGATACCCATGGATGGCTCCAGGGCTACCGGACTGAGGGTGATCTGGGCTGGGGTAAAGAATGCAATTTCAGGCATATGAGGTGAGTGTGGGTTGTGCAGAGGTGTGGGGAGGGTATATGGATATGTGTGCAAGTATGGGTGTGTGGGACTATAGGTAGAGTGTGTAGAAGGGGTGTAAGGATGGGGATGTGGGAGGAGGGAGAGACGTGGGGGATATAGGCATGCATAGGTTGTGGGGGCATGACAGTGAGTGAGGGCACTGGGGGGCTTGTGAGTGGGATACAGGGAAGATGTAGGGGAGAGGGGTAAGGGTCTGCAGGGGGCCTGGGTGGTGGGGGGAGCAGCTATATTCATCCCAAGAGGAAATGAAACAACCTGGACATGGGTTAAAAGAGAAAGGGAACAGATGCCCCTTCTTTTTCCAAGGTCTTTCCAACCATCCCACCCAACTCAAGGTCACAGCGGAGGACAGTTACACCTGAAATCTAATGCTCTTCTTTGGTCATGCATAGTACCACTTGCTCCAGGCCTGCAAGAAATTACATGGCAGGCCAGGCGCTGTGGCTCACGCCTGTAATCCCAGCACTTTGGGAGGCCGAGGTGGGCGGATCATCTGAGGTCAGGAGTTTGAGACCAGCGGTGAAATCCCACCTCTACTAAAAATACAAAAATTAGCCGGACGTGGTGGCGCATGCCTGTAATCCCAGCTACTCGGGAGGCTGAGGCAGGAGAATCATTTAAACCTGGGAGGCGGAGGTTGCAGAGAGCTGAGATCCTGCCACTACACTCCAGGCTGGGCAACAGAGCAAGATTCTGTCTCAAAAAAAAAAAAGAAAGAAAGAAAAAGAAAAAAGAAATTACATGGCAGGTAGAAATGAGGCAGCGGGCTAACAAAGCCTCAGTAACTGGGCTTTTCTCACTTCCCATTCCCTTCAACTCAGGCTGTCAAGGGTCAGGAGGGGAGATGATGGTGCATGAAGGTGTCTACAGCAAGCAGCCATCTGTTCTCCCGGCCTGGCAGGCAGAAGGCGAGAAAATAAGAAGACAGCGAACAAACCCCAGCACACAATGCCTGGGGGTGTGGCCAGGGGCATTGAAAAAGTCTACAAACCTGCTGGGATGGTGCCCCTTTACCAAGGGGCTCCCCACCAACATTCAGAACCGAAGCAAGGCAACTCACCTGTCCACTAGAGAATACGAACACGAGAGCTGCCCCAGCTGCCGTCATCCCCCAGGTGAAGAAGGTCCCCAGCAAGGCCTGGAACACAGAGCTGTGGCCTTGGAGCATGCTGGATACAGCTGTGCAAGAGGAGTGAGAGCGTCAGCCGCCGGTGGTCCGTTTCAGTGACAGGCGCACATTCTGACATGTCCTAACCCCCTGTGCGGGAGCTGGCCTCCCTCTGGCTTGACAGTATGCACCCTTCCACCACGTGTCCCTCAGCCACCCAGCACACAGGTCAGGCTTCTCTATCCAGGTCCCTCAGGAATTGGAAATCGTCTTAATCTGAAAGAAGGCATGGGGAGACGCCGGGGAGATGCCAGGGGAACCCATAAAAAGGCTGCAACATTGAGAGGTAGTTTCAAAAAGCAGCACAAAGAATGTGGTTTGTTCCAGAGGAAGGGGGCATAGGAGGGTCTGATGCAGCCTCCCCCACACAATCTGCCTCTTCTACCATCTCTTGCCCACCATCTGCGCCCAGCCTCCTCCAAAGACAGGTGACTAGTGCAGGTGATGTCAACACGCTTCCAATCTAAATCCCCGTCATATCTGCAATGGTGCACCTGCCCAGCCAAAGGGTAAACTCCACCAACCAACCTTTGATTCTCCCCACCCCCAACTCTCCAATCCCATTCTCCATCATGCCTGCATGAGCACCAAACTCCAGCTCAACTGGATTATTTACGGCACTTTCCACAAGCCCCAGACAATCCTGCCTCCGAGTGCCTGTTCATTCACTTCCCTCCTGGAATACCTTCCTTGCACATTTCCAGCCATCCGAACCCGGAGCATCCTCTGCAGCCCACCTAATGCCCAACTTCACAACGAAGGCTCTTCTGGCCTTCCCCAGCCCTGTCCCAGCCCTGTCCCAGCATGCAGCTTTGGTCCTTTCTCAGCGTGGCTTTGCCTCCATCTTTTACAGCCTTAGTTGCTTGAGGACGGGGATGGTGCTTTTACATATTTGGCCACCCTGCAAAATAGGGCTTTGTAACCCCTGAAAAATATGTGCTGGATGGAAAAGGGCCAGCTTACCTGCACAGGACAGTCAGCAAGGACAAGCAAACAGACCTAGGAATGGAATGTCCCCTGGTCAACTCAGCACCCTGCTGCTAAAGCTGGTTACACCACCGCCCACCAAGGAAGGAAGGGAAGTACCATTCCCTCTCATTTCAGTCCAGAGAACCTCCTCCAGACTTCAACATACTTAAAATTCTGGATCTGAGATGACAATCAGATCTCTCCCTGTGGAAAGTTACAAGGCAGAGAAACCTATTTGTTGAAAAGCCCTGTGTTCCGGTACACAAACGCTGGGCTCAGGGCCTCATCTCAAAGCCTCATTCATCTCCCTGATGGTCGGCCAGCACCCAGAGGGCTGGCTGGACACGACCACAGTGGGCTCAGCCCTGCCAGTCCCCAGTGCTCTGTCAGGAGCCAGCAGCCCTGAACCTGCAGATCAAGAGCTGAAGACGCTGCCTCGACTGACCCTGGAAGGAAACCACGGCAGAGTGTGGATGGAGCCCTTACGCCTTAAGCGGCTCAGCAACACACCCAGGCTCAAACCTAGGAAGGGCTATGGGTCCAGGTGAGCCCAGGTGAGCCCTGGCTCAGCCCCTGTGCCAGAAACCCTGAGATAAATAGCAGATATGGAATCAGACTCTAATTCCCATACTCTAAACGAACTGCACCAATTGTGAAAACTGTGAGCACGCTAATTAAAGAAAAAAAAATCCTTTTTAAAAAACTACCCTTTACATCCGTCATCTTGCTCAGCCACCCTAAAAAGAGGGGTTAGTCTTTGTTTTTAAACCAAGCCATCTGGACCATTACACCAATCATCTATTCTGAGTTGCTGTGGATAAAATTTCAAACAGCATTTACAAAGAACAGCACAAAGTGATCATCCTCTCAGTACTTATCATCCAAGACAGGGCATAACAAAAACACCTTTCTTTCCTGTATTTGAATGTGCCTCTTGACAGCTACAGAAGAGAGCAAACAATTTACATTTGCCAACAGGCCAAAGTCAATGTGGATCTTGCGGGCTGGTGAACAGAACAGAGGGAGCTCATGGGTGTTCCTGGCCGTTACTGGGATAGGGAAACACTCGTCTAAGCCTGTCCCCATGTACACCTGAGCACCCTGCTGAGTAAGAAAAAGGGACACAGAGGGGAGACCAAGTCCACCATGCTTTCCATCCCAATAGGAGCAGCATTGATCATGAGCAATGCAAGCCCAGTGCCCCTTGCAGAAGTGTCTTCTCTATTAGCTGTTTTAAATCCTTGCTACTCCAAAGGTGGTCAGAGAACCAGCAGCGCTGGTCTGGGTTGGGAGCTAGTTAGGAATGCAGAAACTCAGGTCCCACCCAGGAGTTTCTGAATCAGGGTCTGCATTTTGTGGAACTCCATAGGGGATTCTTATGCACATTAAACTGTGGAAAGCAAAAGATTAAAACTGGTAAAACTTGGCCAGGCACAGTGGCTCACGCCTGTAATCCCAGCACCTTGGGAGGCCAAGGCAGGCAGATCACCTGAGGTCAGGAGTTTGAGACCAGCCTGGCCAACATGGTGAAACCCCATCTCTACTAAAAACACAAAAATTAGTCGGGCATGGTGGCAGGTGCCTGTAGTCCCAGCTACTCAGGAGGCTGAGGCAGGAGAATTGCTTCAACCCAGGAGGCAGAGGTTGCAGTGAGCTGAGATCGCACGACTGCACTACAGCCCAGGTGACAGAGCAAGGCTCTGTCTCAAAAAAATAAAAAATAAATAAATAAATAAATCTGGTAAAACTTCTACAATACCAAGAGCTTAGAAAATGAGTTCTCCTGCCCCATGTGGGATTGACAAGACCAAAGCAGAGTCCCAAAAGAACAGAAGAGTTTTCTGCAGAGTCTCAAGAGAAGAAAAGTTTCTGGCAGAGTCCCAAGAGAACAACAAGTCTTCTCTAACCGGCAGACCAGTAACGACTTTAGGGCACAGCATCTCCAGCACAGCTTACACAACGGGGCTCAGACTTCCTCACGATGGGGATATTAATTCCATCAATCTTGATTCGTTAGTGGCAGGGAGAATCATTCTCTGCCCGTTCCAACTTTTAAAATGCCAACAGCCTGTACATTTGTACACATCGGCCACAGCAGCACGTGGGCATTTCCGGTTGATTGATACAGGTTTGTTTTATTTATTTCCTTTCTCCACCTTTTAAACTTCTTGTTCCGCTTCCAAGAGTCAGTTCAAGAGGCTGGTGAAGTTGCAGAAGTGGGAACAGCACTAGGGCTGCTGGGCCTTAGTGGAGCTGCATACACATGCCCTAACTCCACGAGGGGGAATCCAGCAGAAGGATTCAGGTCTGGGCGGAGAGGACTGTGGAAAAGTTCTCTAATGCCTCGCTACTCAAAGCGTGGTCCGCGGAACACCCAACCTGGGAATAGGTTAGAAATGCACACAGTCACGCCCCACCCAGACCTGCTGCAAGTTAACCAGATTCCCAGTCAAGTTCAAGAGGTCCAGCTAACAGCCAGAGCAAGTGGGAGGGGCCTGGGAGCAGCTGGAATTGTAGCTGCCTCTGCTCCCAGGAATCCCGGGTCCCGCCACACACCCCTAGGAAGCGATGAACGAAGAGGATCTTGGGTGAGGACTGTAAAAGGCAGGCATGTCATTGCCTTCCAGATCACCCTGGAGAGGGACATAGCGGGGGTCCGGGGACTTCCTTCCCGCCCCCCACCCCCACCCTCCCACCCCGCCCCGCCACCTGCCAAAGCCTCCAAACCCCTCCTCTCTCCAGACGCACCCCCTTCCAAGCTCCAGGTGGCTGCCCTTCCAAGTCCCACACACTTGTCCTAATGGCACCCGACCCCGGGCCTCAAGCCCAACCAAAGGCACCGAAGGAGAGAAAAGCCAACTCACTAGGGTGCCCTCTCCAGCCCCCACTGCACTTCCATCAGCCCCCGCTGCCGCTCGCTCGCCGGCTCCACTCCCGCAGTCACTTCCTGCTTCCCTCCCGCACACGTGGCCCTCCCGCCTCCGGGCCCCGCCCCCTCGGCCGCAACTGGCAGCTCCCGCCTGAAGAATAGATTCTCTGGTTCACAGCCGTCTGCAGGTTCAGGAACAGATCTGGGCGGGCAGAACAGAGTCCTGAGGCCAAGCGCCCAGCAGTCTGCGAGGGACTGCAGCCCTAGGGGAAGCTACAAACACCCAAGGAAAGAGCCCTTTGTAACACCCCTAATGTTACTTACGCTTTTATACCTTTGGCAGCCAGGTGCATGCCACTGGGTGCGCAGCAGAGCAGGATGTGCTGTGTGTGTGTGGCGGGGGAGGCTGGGGGCAGGTAATGTGATGGCATCGGCATCATTCTCCAGTCAATGAGCCTCAAAAGAATCACTGGAGAGAGTCAAATACAGAATGCCAGCACTCCCAGAGGCTCTGGTTCCGTCATTCTGGGTGGGACTGGCATTTTAGGATGTTTTTGTTTTTGCTTTTGTTTTTTTGAGATGGAGTCTTGCTCTTTTGCCCAGGCTGGAGTGCAGTGACCCAGTCTCGGGTCACTGCAGCCTCTGCCTCCTATGTTCAAGCTATTCTCCTGCTTCAGCCTCCCGAATAGCTGGGACCACAGGTGCATGCTGCCAAGCCCCACTAATTTTTTTTTTTTTTTTTTTAGTAGAGACAAGGTTTCACCACGTTGCCCAGGCTGGTCTCGAGCTCCTGACCTCAAGTGATCCACTTGCCTGGACCTCCCAAAGTGCTGGGTTATAGGCATGAGCCACTGCGCCTGGCCTGAGATTTTGTTTTGAGCTAAGAGTTGCTGATGCTGCTGTCCTGGGACCACCCTTTGAAAAGCACTGCCCTAGGTCAAAGGCTTTGATCCGCAGGACTTCTGTGAAAAGATCAGAGGATAGGATTGGCTAGATTTAGCCAAAAACAAAACAAAACAAAATAAAATACATACATACATACATACATACATACATGCATACATACAAGATGCCTGGGCCGGGCACACTGGCTCAAGCCTGTAATCCTAGCACTTTGGGAGGACAAGGCGAGTGGATCACGAGGTCAGGAGATCGAGAACATCCTGGTTAACATGGTGAAACCCTGTCTCTACTAAAAATACAAAAAATTAGCCAGGCGTGGTGGCGGGCACCTGTAGTCCCAGCTACTCGGGAAGCTGAGGCAGGAGAATGGCGTGAAACCAAGAGGCCGAGCTTGCAGTGAGCCAAGATCACGCCACTGCACTCCAGCCTGGGAGACAGAGCGAAACGCCATCTCAAAAAAATGAAAAAGAGATGCCTGATTAAATTTGAATTTCAGATAAATAACAAGTCATTTATTACTATAAGTATGCCCTGGGCAATGTTTGGGACATACTTATGCTACAGGCATATTTGTTGTTGATCTGAAATTCAAACCCAGCTGAGTGTCCTGTGTTTTATTTGACCACATATCAGAGCAGGACCTGAGCAGAAAAACTACCTGTGGTATCAATCAATGGTGATAGCCCAAAGGGTCCAATAACAGGCCTCTTTTTTCCAGCAGAACTAGGTTGTTCACACTGATGGTCGCACCATATATCATGCACTCTGTGGGGAAGAGAAGACAGCCTGGCCACTGAAGGGTGGTCTTTGCCCTTAAAAGACCCCCAACTGGTAGGAGTCAAATCAGCCACTGGAATTCCACATAACAGAGTATGACAGGCACACAGAGACGCAACACCCACATGGCATGGCCCATCAACTCATCTTCCAAAATGTCATAGCTCTTCCTGCACGCTGCAATCGCTATAAAGTGATACGATATCTTAGATTCACTTCAAAATATGATGGAAGAGAGAAGTGGATGGAGTAGAGATTAAACACAATTGGCCATGAATTAACCATTCTTAGGCTGGGCGCGGTGGCTCACACCTGTAATCCCAGCACTTTGGGAGGACAAGGTGGGCAGATTGTTTAAGCCCAAGAGTTCGAGACCGGCCTGGGCAACAAAGCAAGACCTCGTTGCTACAAAAAGTTAAAAAAAAAAAAAGTAGCTGGGCACAGTGGCAGGTGGTAGCTGGGCCTGTAGTCCCAGCTATTAGGGAGGCTGAGCAGGGAGGATTGCTTGAGCCCAGGAGTTTGAGGCTGCAGTGAGCTGTAATGGTGCCACTGCACTCCAGTGAAAGACCACCGAGACGGGCGGATCACGAGGTCAGGAGATCGAGACCATCCTGGCTAACCCGATGAAACCCCGTCTCTACTAAAAACTACAAAAAATAACTGGCCGGGCAAGGTGGCAGGCGCCTGTAGTCTCAGCTACTTGGGAGGCTGAGGCAGGAGAATGGCATAAACCCAGGAGGCGGAGCTTGCAGTGAGCTGAGATTCGGCCACTGCACTCTAGCCTGGGCGACAGAGTGATACTCCGTCTCAAAAAAATAAAAAATAAAAAATAAAAATAAAAAAGTAACCATTGTTGAACTCGGGGAACAGGCACATAGAGGTTCATTAAATGTTTCTGTGTCTACTTTTGTGCATGCTTATTATTATTATTTTTTTTTTTTTTTTTTTTAAGACGGAGTCTCGCTCTGTCACTCAGCCTGGAGTGCAGTAGTGCAATCTCGGCTCACTGCACCCCCACCTCCCAGGTTCAAGTGATTTTCCTGCCTCAGCCGGCCTCCCAAGTTCTCAAGTAGCTGGGACTACAGGTGCATGCCACCACGTCCAGCTAATTTTTTGTATTTTTAGTAGAGACGGGGTTTTGCCACATTGGCCAGGCTGGTCTTGAACTCCTGAGCTCAAGCAATCCCCCACCTCAGCCTCCCCAAATGCTAGGATTACAGGAGTGAGACGCTGCGCCAGGCTGCTTAAATTCTTTACACTGAAAAATAAACAGAAATGTTTACAACGATCCACAAAGTGCCTCTCCTGCCCAATCCTTTCTCTCCTTTCTCACTACTGCTGTGAGGATTCAGCCTCCCCATCCCTCATCTAGGTCATGGGAGTCACCTCCTTCCACTCCACCCTGTCTAGTCTGTTCCATGTACCACCGCCAAGATCAGCCTGCCCAAAGCACAGCACGTCACTCTCCTACTCAAAAAGCTCCAGTAGCTCCCCAGTGCCTTTGGCATAAAGTTCAAATGCTTCAGCCTGGAATTCGAGGTTTCCCGTGGTATGATTCCATCTAAACGTTCTCAATTCTGTCTCCCAGGGTTCTCCTCCCTGTGCCCTCTGGCCAAGCCAGGCTGGACAGCGCGCTGTCCTTCACACAGCCTTCCCTCCCTACCACTCATATCTCCCCTATACCATTTCTACTGAACTGCCCTTCGCCTCCCGAATCTAAGCCCCACCATCCTGCAAGACCCAGGTTTAATGCATTCTCCTCCGGCACCCCATCTGACCTCATCTCCCACCTGTCCCAGCCCTGGTTACAAATCGAGTCTCTATCCTCTAAGGTCCCACAGAACTCCATCTGAATTCTAAGGCACTTGTCTTCTTCTATCTTCTACTGTAGGATCTAACTTCACTGCTATATTCGACACACAAACCCAGGATTGGAATCAAGCTCCTTACTGAGCTCCTTCCCCTCATCCTAGCCAGCCTAGCACCTCATATTATAGCATGTCCTCAGAAGATGTTTGCATGCAAAGCATAGGTAAACTTGATGTGGGGAAGGAAAAGTGGGGAACCTACTAACAGTTGTTGAATGCCTGACCTGGGCCACTTTATCTTTACATCCTCCTCTTATGTAAAACTCACAATTCTGAGGGAAAGGTATTATTGTCCCCATTCTACAGATAAGGAAATTGAGGCTCAGGAAAGCTGCGGAGTAACGCAAGGTCCATGGGGCAGTGTGGGACACCAAATCCAGCTGACTCCTGAGATGGTGCCCTTCCTGCATGGGGCATTCGGGGCTCACAGGATAAGACCCAGAGCCACCTTGATCAGCATTTCTGCATCTCACTTTCTTTAAATCACACCAAGCCCATAAGCAGGAGGGGCGATAACCCCCAGAGACAAATCTTACCATTTCCCCATCTTTCTAGATAAACCCCCACACACATGCCCACTCCGCAAACATGCAAACTGTCCCTTGCACACACTCCCTTACAGTCAAAAGTGGCAGAGTGCTGGCCAGAAGAAAACGTTTCCTGGGCCAGGTGCGGTGGCTCACGTCCGTAATCCCAAAACTTTGGGAGGCCGAGGTGGGTGGATCACCTGAGGTCAGGAGTTGGAGATCAGCCTGCCCAATCTGGTAAAACACCATCTCTACTAAAAGTACAAAAATTAGCTGGCCGTGGTGGTGGGCACCTGTAAGCCCAGCTACTCGGGATGCTGAGGCAGGAGAATCGCTTGAACCCGGGAGGCGGAGGTTGCAGTGAGCCAAGATCACGCCACTGCATTCCAGCCTGGGTGACAAGAGCAAAACTCCATCTCAAAAAAAGAAAAAAAAGAAAATGTTTCCTGAAAGCTAAATACACTGACTCTGACCTCCACCCCACCCACAGTCCATTCCTATTCTCTCCCACGGGACCTAAGGTGGCCTGATGCCCCCAGGACAAAGGGATGGGATATGCAAGAACAGACCAGAACAGCGGCTCCAGAAGCAGTGGCAGGGGGATTTGCAGGCAGTGAAGGCTGCTTCCCACGTGTCAAAGGGCCCTAAGACTGATGCCAATCATCAACAAAGGAACCTCAAGGCAACAAGATGGTGGACGGCCCTTTCCAGAGGAATCGCTGTGTTTTGATCTGGCTAAATGCCCTCCTGGCATCTCCTTCTGGAAGACTGTTGGGGGCAAGCAGGGGGATCATGGGCTGCAGCTTTGCAGAAAGAATGGAGATAGGCATAAAGTTGTCCAGCCCAATGAGCCCTGGATCTCATCCTCTCTCATTCTCTCTTTCTCTCTCTCTCTCTCTCTCTCTCTCTCTCTCTCTCTCTCTCTCTCTCCTTCTCTCTCTCTCTCTCTCTCTCTCTCTCTCTCTCTCTCTCTTTTCTCTCTCTCTCTCTCTCTCTCTGAGTTGATTTCTAGCTT